AGGACGGTTTTTGGATAAAGGTAAGACGATGGATAATGTCCAAAACCATAATATTTGTAACATCGTTGCTGTTTCAGAACACCTTGAAAGCAAAGCCTTGGTAATTTGCTAACTTTCAAGAGAGTACACGTTGCATTGATAAAGCAGTAATGATGCTGACGGCGTCAGTGTACAACATATCTGTGAGGACACGTCATGAATTGATCTGGCAACCTGTATGATCAATCAGATCTCTAGTGTGCTGATCGTAGGTTGAAAATAGATCTTAGTAACTTTGTGAGGAGCCGGTCACGGTAGCCGAGCGGTCTAAGGCATGTACTGTCTTCGTTCGCTTGGAAACCGGAATCTTGGGTTCGAATCCCACTCAGGGCATGGATGTTTAGTTTGTGTACAGGTAGAGGCCTTGCGACGAGCTGATCACCCGCCCAAGGAGTCCTACCGAAAGTCTAAGATCTAGAAAAAGCGAAGTGAACGGAGAAGTTCATGGAGGTAGGCCTAGGTCCACGGGGGCTGTAGTACCAAGGAAAAAATACGGTAGAATAATTTCAAGTAAAAACAGGACCTTGAAGATGGCTAACGTGTGACGAAACATGTCGTCCTAGGCAGAAAACTCTCCTTGCTGGAAATATCGTTATGTTGGTAGGAATATACAGTAGTCAGCTGTCTAGAGTGAAACGGATTCACCTTTCTCAGTGGCATATGATTTTAGTGAAGATTTGCATGTTGACGTTCACTCCATGAGCAGGTAGAAGTAATTGCGTGCTTTTGAACACCGTCACGGAACGGTCCTGTGTTGAGGAATGTCCGAGACTTCCGGCCAGCCCGCCTGTCATAGAACTTCGCCGTCTCGTCTGCAGAACGTGGAGGAGCTGTTAGTATCGAATTCTTGCTATTTTATGGCTATGTCAGTTCGAATGTTGTCCAAGGAACCGCACGTTCTTATTGAGGGGTTCTGTAGTTTTACAATGTTTCCCCCCCCCCCGAACCCAGCACCGTTTGCCTCCAGATCCCATTATGGTTTGCCACAGTTTGTCGTACAGCACAGAAAGTAAGAATTTCGTTAGCTGCGGCACGGAGATTGCCTGGGAACTTAGAACGAAACATACCGGAAATTGTTAAAACTGGCAGGACGCAGGTGTTCCCGTTCTGGCTCCCTTCCCTGCTCCTCGAACTCTTTCGAAATTTCATTATAACTGAAAGTGGTATCAGTGTTCAGTGTGGCGGTAGCAGGCTAACCTCTCAACTTCCTCCGTGACCCGTCCCCGTAGTTCAGTTCAATAAGTTCCCAGCTTCACAGAATGCTTGCGCGGGGCAAATAGCCCATGCTATCATATGAATAATACATGAGGGTTTCTGCGTGCATGGCTGCGTCTCTCTCGGAACACCACTGGAAGATGGCGGTAGGCAGAAGCAGTATGAGGAGGTCTTACAGCTTATAGCGCTGTTTGTTCTACTGCCTTTGGGGGGGGGGGTACTTGATATAGCGTTTCATTATATTGTTTACAAGAAATTGCATTAAAGTCTAGGTATATCAGTTACCAGTCAGTATAAAAAAGAAAGTACACAAAACTGCAGTTTCACCAGAATTCAGGACAGTTCAGTCGCCGCCGCAGTAACTTTGCCCGCGGATGGAAGACGGAGGGATCTGCGGCTCACCCTGGCCCTGAAGCTGTCCACTCACCTCTATCTAGGGCAAAGCTATACACCTCCATGGCGCAGTGCTTGCTTAAGTGTAGGGATATTTTTAATTTTTTTATTGCTAGTGGGTTGGGACTGGGGGCACGCGGTAGCGTAGTTGATTCAGGGCTAAGCTACAAGCCGGAAGGTCGCGGGTTCAAGTCCCGATGAGGTCAGTGTGCGATTTTTGGCCAATGAAGTGGCGCTGGAGCAGGTGCATCCCGACGAGCTTGGGGTTTCCTCTCACAGTTATCATCTCGTCGTTATGGTCTGGTGGAAGATGTGCGAAGTTGGCTGCATTGGTGAAGTGAAAACTATTTTGCAAGGACGTCATCTGTCACGGCAACCATGTGATACCTTGGAATACCCGACGGGGACCCAGATCGATCACAAGTGAAGCGTGTTACTTCTTAAGGCAGTCTGTTTTTATCGATGTTAGCATTTACTGTAGAATCATTGAAAGTTTACTCTGTGACAGTTTTAATATTTGTTCGAACCAGGCGGGTCCGTAGCCGTGATATTAGCGTACTCTGTAACGTCTTTCAAGCTCCTCGTCCCTCAAGTAATGACTTGGATTGTGGCGTCGTCGTTACGAAGTTAGGGTATTACGTGTATAACCTCAGCATACAGTGCGAATCAAACAAAAAGAAACTCCGTGGTTTTAGTCCGCAAGCGAACTTTACCGACCGACCGCCGCTTGTCGGCGAAGTTAGTGCCAACTTTAGCGGATAGAGGGTGTCGCGTGGTGAGCGCAACAAATCCCCACGGCCGTTAATTTCGGTTTTCTAGAGCAGATGCAGTGCGAACCAGAGTCTTCATATTGTTCCGAAACATGGTGACTTGAATAATCTGATGGATTTTGTCAGTGGTACATGTGGCTCGAACCTTCCTTTGCTTACATCACACTGACTGTGACACTGCTTTCGTCACCTGTTAAGCAGTCTCTCTCTTCGAAGCGCCCCTTTTACACAACAACTTTCAAATCATCAACTTAAGCGGGTATGAATGTGAAATAGTGAAAGTCAACTTAGCTTCACCGTCCTGAGATACAGCGGTGTCAGACTCTCTCTCTCTCTGTATAAAAAAACTTGACGCTTCTGCTTTCGGCTTCCATACTGTTTCTTTTCTCAGATTCACCCAGTCCATTGATTATGTAAAGACGAGACCTCTGTTGCTCTGAGGGCACGATTACCAGCAGGGTTATTTAAAGCTGGTTTGCCAGGTTTTGCAGCTTCTGTGACATCATCAGCTGTGATAGTTTCTCCCCACCCCTTACTCATTTGCAAGATTGCTCTGATCAGGGTTTTGTCTGTGGGTGGTGATTACATCGTCAACTGAATCTAGTGACCGTGTTAACACCGTTGGCACGCCTGTGATGATTGTTGATCAAGTTTTCCCATTCAGGGCCAAGAAACTGTTTCTGATATCACGATCTGGCTGATCAAGATGTGCGCGAACAAGATTGGTACAAAATACCCCTAAACAAGACACAGTACAAACTCCCTGGCCTATAGTCCGCAGGCGAACTATACCGACCCATCGACCGCCGCTTGTCGGCGAAGTTAGTGCCAACTTTTGCGGATAGAGGGTGTAACGTGGTCAGCGCAGCGGCTCCCCACGGCCGTTCATCTCGGGTTTCTACACCGGAGTCGCTATTTCCTTGAAATAGCTCCTCAATATTCTCACGAGACTCATGAGGCTGAGTAGACCCCGTTCCAGACCCACTACTTCTCATAAAATTGGTAAAGTAAGTAAAGCTATCCCTGTAATAGGCCATGAAGGCCCATAGGGTTGTGAGACGTTGAGGGTCCCACATCTAGACAATCAGCTCGATGATAGCGGTAAGGTTGTCAGCCTTACGCGCCGGCCGCGCTTTACTCCCCAGGAAAATTATTGGATTAATTCCTGGTACTCATTTCTGTTAGAGACTGAGCTAACCACAAGGCCATAGTGCGGCTGGAAGGATTAAGTCAATTGAAAAAATCCAATGACATCATCGGGACTTGAACCCGCGACCTTCCGGCCTGTAGCATAGCCCCTCAACCGACTACGCTACCGCGTGCCCCCCCTCAGAAAATTGGTAGCGCCGGGACTCGAACCTGGGGCCTAAGCATCTGTAGCCAGGAACTCTGACCACTAGACCGCAGAGGGGGTACCCCGGTGATTATTTATTGCTCCATTAATGTGTCCACTGGAAGTAGCATAACGATGAGCAAGTATAATATTTCGGGACGAGGTAGCCAACGAAGTGTTGTGTCGAGTATCTATCCCAGCTGCTTTGCGATTTTTCAGCTTTATCGCGCTAAGGGTCCCCATACACACACAGTTTGGCCTCCAGTTCGGCCTGCACAGTCGAAGACTGAAAGGCAAAACTGACGTGTGTGGTGCGGCCGGCCGGCCAATCGTTTGGACTGTTGGCCTGTGGGAAACCCGTCAGTCCGTCTGCAGGACCATAGCACGTGACGTGTGTGACTCAACATTATAGGCTGGAAGACCGTGATTGTGGCATGAAGCCTGCCGCTTTATCTGCCCGTGTATGGGGAGGAAAGGGAGGGGGTAAACTGTAACAGTTTTGCCTGTAAGGTCGATCGGAAGGTCAAACTTTGTGTGTATGGGGGGCCTCACGCAAAAGTGTACAGGCGATTTTCTTGGAACTAAAATTGCGGGAAATAGGTGTGTACGTTCTTCCCGTTCGGTTCAGCCACGTACTGCAAAAGATGGAGTATAAATACATACGCAGTAAACACCAGAACCTCAACATATGTAGGTGGAATATTGTTACACAGCTGGCCTCCATTTGCCAGACTGCGTGGCGCCTCCCCCCACTCCCAAGGAGACTACTGTCTTGTCTCGGTAAAGTGAGCTGCAGCTGCTGGGGGGATCCGTTTGACCCGACTCGTCACAACTGTCAGCGAAAGAGAAGTGGGGGCACGCGGTAGGTAGTTGGTTGAGGCACTATGCTACAAGCCGGAAGGTCGCGAGTTCAAGTCCCGATGAGGTCATTGGATATTTTTTTCAATTGACCTATCCTTCCAGCCGCACTGTGGCCCTGGGGTCGACTCAGCCTCTAACAGAAATGATTACCAGGAATTGATTAAATAATTTTCCTCGGGAGTAAAGCGCGGCTGACAACCTTACCGCCATCTTTGAGCCGATTGTCTATATAATGTGGGACCCTCAACGTCTCACAACCCTATGGGCCTTCACGGCCTGTTACAGGGATAGCTTTACTTTTTTATTGGCGAAATAAACGCCAGGAGGTTTCAGTTTTTGTGGTACTTTGGTGTAGGAAGTGTTGTGACAGTATGTCCATGTGTTTGCAGGTAGCGGAAGTCGGGAGTGCGAGGATTCCATAAAGAAGACCACGACGTCCTCCTCGCGAAGCCCCGCGGTTGGCGTCGTAGAAGAAGGGATGAAGCCTTTGGGTTCGGTCATCGGTAACAGCTGCACTGGAGGATCTAATGGTAGCTCCGCTGACGACGACTTGTTATTTGGTACTTCGAGTCCTCGAAATTATGGCTCTAGCTTTTGCAGTAGTGGAAAGTCTAGGCCTACCATGATCAGTGCTAAATACAGACTTAAAGAAGAACGTCGCAAGGTTCTCAAGATCTCTATTAACAAACTCAAGAAGATTGAAGATCCCGAGAGTTCGCTTCGCCGTTCTGTGCTTATAAATAACACGATGAAGCGACTGCAAAAAGAGGCGCGGGATGAAAAGTTGCAGAAACACACGTATCCGGCTCGATGTTACACCTCGTCACCGTCTTCATCTTCGACTTTCACCATAAAGGATGACTCACGTGAAGACAGTAGCAGTGTTTCTTCCATTTGTTCCACATCATCACTGGATGAAATACCTTCCATCATGTCTCCTAGAATCCATGATCTACCATTACCCCATACAACAGATGCTGACAAAGAGAATACTTCTCCGTTCCCTTCATCATCATCCTCATTGTCCCCGGTTCCATCACCAACCTATGAGAATACAAGCTCCAAATCAGATATCGAGTGTAAAGCCACGGATACAAGTCAAAGACTGGTTGCAACTGACTGCCTTTGCGATGATACCATGGACGATCTTGTGGTTAACGTTGGTGGTAGCGAAACTGACAACCCTCTTGCAATTCCTATCGTAACTGGCATTGACACAAGTCGTTCCTCTGCCATGATTGGAATGGATGACACTCCTTCCAGCAATAACCGGTGTGCCAGTGCCTTCACTTCAAGGAAACGCTCCTTTGATGAAGTCGAGGACTGTGACGTCCATGACGTCCTCAGCCAGTTCTATATGCCACCTACACCACGGATGCTCACTTCTATTGATGATACTGATGATGAGGATGAAGATGTCAACGTGGTTGATATTGATATTGTAACTCCTTCAGGATTAGATTTGTCAGCACCACCAGCACTTCAGCCATCCAATGCAGGGAATGTAAACTCAACAAATACTTCCTCTACAACTTCCTCAGTATCACTGTTATCCCTTGTTCACCCAGAAGAACCGATGTCCAGCAGTTGCAAACGTCCTAGGTTTAGTAATGATGATGCCATTGATGTTGATCCTGTTGAAGAACTAGAACTTGGTAGGACAACTTCCTGTTTAGTATCATCAGCCATGTCAGTGGTCCCAGTTACTTCTGATAGGTTGACAAGGACATCAGCTGATGTCATTTGTAATGACCAGCCTAGTGCAAGAGACCTGGATGACCAGGAAGACATTGAAGTTGTACTGGAAGGCAGTGAAGATGTTCAGAGGAGCATGTTATTGTGTAGTGCAACAGCATCTACACCTCTAACAAGGACATCATCACTACCATCATGTTGGGCATCATCAGTCAATGATGTTGTCAGGACTAGTGAACAGACCTGTGTTTCACATGTTGTGACACCATTACAAACAACAGGAGTTGACAAAGAGAATCCTCACCCCCATCTGAGGTTTAGCAGTAACTTGTCCATTGATACTAAGACAGTGTTGCCCATATGTAACACAAATAGTACTTACTCTGGAATTCCAAATGACAATAACAACACTGCCATGGCAACCAGTGCCACTACCAACAACGGTTCTGTGATGTTGGATGGGATGGAACAGCACCAGTATTCTTGTGGTCATTCATCCATCTTTAGTGAACTTCAGTCTGTTGTGTTTCATAGCTTAATACCATCTTTGGAGTCATAGCGATATCTGAATGGAAACAGGTGGCATTACTTAAGATACTAAACAAAAAGAAATTTAAGAAGTGTATAAAAGAAGAAACGCCCTCAGTTCACAGTTGCTGGTTGTTTTAGATTATTAATGTAGAATATATAAAAACGGACTGCTGAACAGTTTCATAAGCACAAATAATTATATAGATGAAATGTTGATTCAAAATGAAGGCAAGAAAGGTCATCCATGATATATCATAGTTTGTATTTTATTTTATTTACATAAGGCAGAGTTGAAAGTTGCTTTGTATCCAGATTTTATGACACTATTTTAGATTTGTATATTTTTCATTTTGCCTTGGTTATGATTTGCATTAGAACATGAGAGACTAAAGAAATCTGCTGCAATGAGAGCAACATTGTTATGAAATGTATTATATATGCAGAATACTGCAAGTTACATAAGGCCAGCTGATTTCAGAACCTGTGGCCTGAATGAGTATTGATCAGGTGGTATAGCAGAGATCAAGACAGTCTTAGCTGTGTAGTAAACTTTTTAATAAAGTTTCAGAGGTCCATATTGTAATTAAATAACAAATGCTATATACATGTAATAAGGATAATAGCAGATATTATATATTAAGATTAACAGACTTTATGCAAGGCACATTATATATCTGATATATACATACACATACAGTTAGTTATACATGTGTAATTTAATAACATATTTAAACAGATACACAATTTATATATTATCAAGTGCCGGAAAAATTTACTGATGAAAGGTAGTTTATTCTAAATGTGTTTGAGAACATTTTACAGGAATATCAGTTGGGTAAAGTAGGTAAAATGAGACAGAGACTCACAAAAATATTTAAGAACTATTTTTCTCTCCTCTCTTTTTTGGAAATGTGTATCAAATGCTTTTTATGTACCTATTTAATTCTAAAGAAACTCTAGGTCACATTAGTAGCTGTGAAACCATTTCAATACCGATAAATGTGTGTTTGCTTCAAAACAAATTTTTCTGCTTCCTCAAGTATTCTCAGCATATGTGAATATTATACAGAGACGCTTGGTAGTTATTTTCTTAGAGCAAACATGTATGTCAGTTTAGATTTTTGAGAAAGAAGCAATTGACATTTCAGTAACTCAACGAAAGTTATTCAGCCAAATAATGTAACATATAACAGCCCCTTCACTTGTTTGAACATGTAGCAATATTATTTCCTTTCCATCTATCCTACTTCTCTTACATTTCCTTTCCTAAGTCTGCACAAAAGAATGTTGTTATAGTTAAAGTGGTTGCTTGCTGTGTGAAATTGGAAAAGGCAATAAATGATTCTCCTTCCTCCCGAACTAACTGCTCCCTACATATTATGCTGGTAATATAAACCATATGCACTTGGATGCGTGAAATAATTAGAATTGTCAAGTTTTATACATTGTCAGTTTCTGGAGTTATGGGAAGGTGAGGCTGACTAGAGGTTTATAAACTTTGTAATGGTATAGTAATAATCCTTTAATGCAGTAGTAGAGCCTGAACTCTTTGAGTGGGTTATTTTTCAGTCATTGAGTTTTTGCATAAATAATGTCTTAAAAACACATAACTTGCACTCACACAGCATGGAGGAAGTTCCTTACACAGATTCCTTCCAATTTGCAAGTTGTTGACATCTTTGTTCATAACTGACAAATCCCCTTGATTACAAATCTGTTACTGTTACCATTGTAATGTTACCCAGAACTGAGGTAACATAATTGTGATCTCATTGATGACATTATTCATGTTTTGTTTGAAACGTGTAACAAAGCGTAGTTATGTACAGCCAGTCAGTTAACATTGTGTTATCATAGAATAACAATATTTGACACATAGTTGGAGATTATTTCAGTTTTATATGTCCGACAGAGCTAAGCAAGTATGTATGTAATAAGCGGTAGTTAGACCCATATAAAATTAAATTCATGGTGTCTAATGTACCTTGGCATGACAAGCTGTAGGCATTTCAGGGCAGACACTGGAAGTATAGAATTTCTTAAACAGACTTGGGGTAGATTGTAGATAATAATCACATATCATTAAATTAAAATACGATTGGGTTCCTTGAAGTGTAAGAAATATGAACAGTGAAAATGTTTTTGTTTAAAACTTTACAAATGTGTATTCTGTAAATTCCATTAAATTGCACTTTCTTGGTGCATATAGTAAACTTCAGCAGTGGTTATCATAAATTAATATATTTTGCTTGGAAGGAGTTTCAACCCTTGTCTTGAATGTTTTTATTGTGAATGGGAGGAATTGGTATTTTTATTCTCTTGTTTAAATATTTGCACACCTCATGTTTTGTCTCTTACTGAAGAACAGTGCACCTTTGAATGTAAGAACATTTTTTTGATGCAGACCCCTTAACTCATTTCTTTTCCTGCCTGTGTATTTCGTGGTAAAACTAGTTGGTTTCCTGCCCTGATTTGAATTTGTTTTGTGACATTTGGTTGATTACATATGAATGCTAATGGCCTACAACTATTTTTTTTCCCTAATTTCTGAGTTGCAGAAACTAAGTTTGTAATGTTTTGTTGCACTTCACATTAAATTTCTAGAATATTTATTTTTTAAAACAAATCGTAACTGTACTGGAATATTTTGTAGAATACATCTCACCATGTGTAAGCTGCAAACAAGGCATTCAGATTGTGATCTTCTGGGTTGTAATACAGTGTTGTGTTTAAGTGAATACAAACATTTTTTAGAGATACGATGCCTCTTGCTGAGGATAAGGCAAGCATGGAGAGGGTGCTGTCAGGTTATATAGGCAGGTAAAATCCTGCTACTTTGAAATGCTGGTGTCTCTACAACATTACATGGTGTTAGAACCCAGAAAACAACAGTCTGAGTACTCACCACTTTGAAAACCTGAAAACTTCGAACACAAGTATTGTTACCCATGCAGTCACTGAGAAAGTATTCTCTCAATCTTTGAAGAGCAGTCTGTTGGTCTTATGTATGACAGAAATAAAAATCCTCTCTTTTATTTTGAAAAATTATAAGGGTGTATGAAATTAATTCTTATGTTGCTGTATAGTTTCAGTCAGTAAAGTTACAAATGTCATTTAAAATTAAAACATTATCAGATATTATATGAAAAGTGCAGAATCCTTATATATGATGTGGGAATAAATTATATACAGGTTGGATGTCCTACAATTTTTGTAAAAAGAGAGACATTCTGTAGCAATATGAATAATCTTTTATTGAACTCGTTTACATATTTGATTTCTTCACATATTGATGCACTGCTTGTCTCCATTAGCATCTATTACTTTTTCCTGTTTAATATTCTCAACAAATGGTGCATCAGAAGTTAACAGAAGTCTGTGATATGCTTCCTATGTTTTGTTCAAATACTTGAAGATAGCAATATATGTTATCTCACCTATTATTTTCATTAGTTGGTATAACTGTATGAATTTTGAACTGTAACAGAAGAAACTTCAAGAGTGGCTTGTATAAAATCCTAATTCTTTTAGTTTCAAAATAAAATGTAAAATATATGGTACTTAATTCTAATCTCATTATGTAGAGTAGTTCACACCTTGTACTGAATTAATTTAAAAGGGTGCAAATATGGATTCTGTTCATAATTTTAAAGAAAATAAAGAAAGATTCTGTAGTTTTCTGCTTTTAAGTTTTTCTTGAAGTCCCTTGATTACTTTGCTTCATAATGCTATATTTTGTTGGAATTAATGTGCGTAATACAGGCTGTCGTGCAATAAGACAAATTGCAATTTTGGTATTGTCAATCTTTGTCTTACTTGCTTTCTTTATCCAATTAAAATAGAATAATAATCTGTGTAATTAACAAGGAATTAAAATTCATTTGATTTTTGCCTGTATTCTTATATAAAGAACATGCTTTAAGCGATTTTAAGTCAAATGTGATTGATGTATGTCTGGCCATAATATCTTGTACTATGATTATTCAGAGCATCAGTGTGGATAAGCTTTTAGTAAGAATATCACCACGAGGTGTAGCTTTATGATTCTTACCAGCAATATTAACATAGTTTAGAGACAAAGAGGGTACAATCATCATCTATTAATGTTGACACTTCCATTGCAATGCCTTATGGTGATCCATGCCTCTTGTAAATTTGGGTATTCCATATAGTCAGAATTTTAACAATTTTTGCACAACTCCATTTGCATATAATATGAAAAAACCTCCTCCCTTCAAAATGGTTTAAATTTTTGTTGGAAAATTGCTGGGGGGTTAGAGTTGCATATAACCCCCAATCTTGGATGTGTTGTGATGCCATTTACCTGACATTTATTCATGTCAATTTGTGATACTCTGACCATCAACACAACAGATATTTCAAAATTAACCAATCTAGTTTTTTACTTTGGTTCTATGTAATAACTGCTACATGTTTCAGGCCACATTTTGGCCATCCTCGGGCAGTTTCATTAAATAGGTCTCATGTCAATGAAATACCCTAATATGGATCAATATTAGTGTCAAATCATTATACATGTGGTTATTACTAAAATTGAAAAAGCTATCTTAAATTTTTAAAAGTTCTCATCATTACCACTAAAAATTCTATGTTATAAGTCGCATATTGTTGGTGGTGTTTATCATCTGGGGCCTGCTGTTATGTTTGTGTCAAAAAGTAAAGTAGTGTGTGTATTACAGTGTAAGCTTTCGGATATACGTGTTTTTCCTTGTGGTGTAGGTAAATTACTTACATGTTTTTGGTACTATTCGCATATAATGTTTTTTTTTAATATGTGTTTCTTCTTGCCTTATTGTCTGTGACATCATGATTCAATTTTTCTGTGAATGGAAGAGATTGAATTACTAGTTATCATATTGACCTGAATTTTAATTATATCTTGGTAAGTGTTAAGAATATTTTATTTTTATTGCTATTTAATTCTAAAATTTTCTAATTTGGAATGTGTTATTATTTACTTCTGTTTAGAGTGTGTTGTGTACTTATTATGTGGACGTTTATTTTTGTGTTTTTCCAGTTCCTGGATTCAGTGTGGACTAACTATAGTGTTCAGGTCATAGTGGGTATGTAGCTTAGGCAATGTGATGTTCCAGGAGAATGGGGGTGGTTGTGTAATGCTGGGAAAAAAGCACATATAACCCAAAACACAGTAATACACACACTATCTTACTTTCAGATAAAATTGTAACATCGGACCTCGGAATATAAACACAACATAAAACACGGACTTTTTAAAAACTTTAAATTTTTAAAAATGTAAAATATATTTTTATAATTTCAGTAATAATTAAACATATTATATTTATTTTAATGATTTAACACATATTGATCCATATTAGGATATTTCAATGACATCAGGCGTATTTAATGAAACAGACTGAGGATGATCCAAAATGTGTACCGAAACTTGTAGCAGTTATTAAATAAAACTAATATAAACCAAATAGATTGATTTATTTTGAAATATTTGTTGTGTTGAAGGCAGAGTGTCACAAATCATGACAAACACCAGGATGCAAACAATAAAGATATTTCATGTTAATGTTTGTCTTTCTTTGCCACAATATAAGTTGTTGGATCTCCAAAGCAATTGCTT